CCAAACGAAGTCACAGGTCTTGCAAAATTTCACAGAACTCAAGTCGTCCTTTTGCGCGTTTTATGTAAAAGTAAAATCAGTAAACTTTGTGCTATACTAATTTATAAATCATTCATAAAAACAAGCATTTTTCCTCCTCAATTCTTTACGCTACCCTAAAATCACATCTTTTCAATCAAAAACTTAGTTTTGCACGACACATTTTCCAGGGTAGTAAATTTTTCTTTGCACACAAAGCAATTTTAATCAAACAAAAGAACTGTGAATGACAGTTTTCCTACTTCAAAAAATGATAACATTTTTCAACCACTTGAAATTGCTTTAAAACTACGCTTTAAAAATGCTTGATAATTTTCTGATAATCAACATGGGAAAAGAGTCCTTGCACAAGACAGCCCTTGTGGCTTAAAACAAATAATCTGTTTTTTTTTTCGTTCAAGATAAAAATTATACAAAAAACAAGGTCTAAAAAATTTGTGAAGAAAAAAGAAAAAATTGTAATGATCTTCAACTTAATCGCACAAACCGCCTCTAGTATGTTCTCATTGCTGGTCTCACGTACCAGAAAATAAATGATATCCTCAGATTGCTCTATAGCCGCACTAACCCCCCATGCAGCATCTACGCTTACTCTAACTTTCACTAAATTTACTCTGAATAACCTTAGTGTACATCAATACTAAATAAGTACAATCAAAAATAAGTTTCCGCAAAAAACTGCAAAAACAAAGAGCCAACTTAACCCAAGCAGTATAAAAAGTGTTTTAAAGAGTGTTTTTAACCAACAGTCAAGTTTGTGAAGGTACTGAAGAAATTTGCCATTGAAAACAACCAATGATGCACATTCTCCTTGTCATCTTTTTACACTCTCATTCCGCAAAATCATTGTGAAACATCCGTTGTTCTACAAAAATATACAACTGCTAGTCTCAGGGCGATTCCCTGAATGTTCCCGCTGCCTTTTAAGGTCTATGTTGCAGTAATAACAAGGAATACTTGAGTAAAATAAAATAAATCTAAAGTTTTTTTTTCTAAATAAATCTGAAGTTCCGATTTCTAAGGACGGATTAAATCTCGCTTACGTGTTAATAGCGCGAAATATATTCCGCGTTAATTGTCCCAATTTGGCCAAAATCACAATCTTTAAACCCCCATAACTTTACGAAAAATGATCACAGGTGATATATCTTTTCAAATTTAAGCCTAGGACAACAATGTCTTTCGAATAAGGTAAAAAATTCCGTCAAAAATGGCTAGTTAAAAAGTTGAAATTTTTCTGAAGAAAAAACCCACCCGAGCACAAATATTCCGTTACTTTCGTTACAAAAGTCGGAACAAAAAAAACCACCCCGAGCACAAATATTCCGTTTCTTTCGTTGCGAAAGTCGGAACAATAATAAAAAAGCTCTTTGGCCGAGCAATACTTTCATATTTAGTTAATACTACTACATACTACAAAATACCAAAATCACGGCAGCACTGAACAACTTCGTCCAACCCCGATATGTGTACATCAAATGGAAACGATAAAAGCCCTTTTAAGCCCTAGAGTTTTATTTATCTTCTTGCACAGACCGTCTGCTTTGGTTTTTAAGTATTTTTTACTAAACATTTTATATTTTCCTTCAAAACTAATTAATAAGTTCTCAAATAGCGATAATAGCGCAATATCAAAGTCAATAGGTTCAAAATATAGGTCGAGCACAAACAAAAAAATACCCAATTTTCTTCGAGAAAAGCAAAATTTAGGTAACGCGTAGATGAAAAACAGGCAGAACACAGTCAACACACAAGTCAAGCATAGACGAAAAACAAGTTGGGCTAAGTTGAAAAATGTTTCAGCACAGTTATCATAAACTGATGGTGGAATGATGACAAAGTCCTCAGATATGAGGTACGAGTTATAGTTTTTATACTTACAAAAACAGACAAAAAATGATCAGTCAAAACATTGAATTGCGGATAAGTTTGACCCGGGGTTTGATCTTAAGCTTAAAAGTAATATTGTTAAAATTCAATTATTCATTTCGAAAAAAATCTACAAAAAAATTACCTGAAAAACGCTTTCGGCATGTTTCGTTTCCAGACAGCTTCCAGCTTTTCTCCAGAAATTTCAATTTTTTCCCTGTTTTTGAAGCATTATCTGAAAAAATGTACTTTACTTCGAAATATTATTTTCTTGCCAATTTTGATAAAAATTTAATATTTGATAAAACTATTTGATAAAAGTTTTTTTTGATCAAAGTTTTTTTCAGATTTGTCACAATGCACTGGAAGCTTTCAGATCTCCCTCAACGTCTCTCAAATAAGATCTCTCTCACTGCGTCTCAACGACAAGTACCGTTTTCAAACGGCTCAGAAATCATTTCAAATTGAACAAGGGAAAGCTCATCGATACTCATCCTGCATCAGTAAAAAAACAAGTTTCGTACAATTTTGTGGGTCTAGGACAACAAGCCGACGGGAATTCAAGCCAAAGGGACTTCAAGCCAAAAAAATAAAAAGACGTTTTATATGAAATTTATTTGCGAAAATTACTGCAAATATTAGAAATACCTTTCCAATAGTTTTTCAAAGACAAAAATCCATCTAAGTATGAGTTTTTTAGGCGGTAAATTTTCTCATTGAGGTCTCAATACTTCTTTTTTTGAATATAAGATGCCTCTTCTCGAGAAATACGTCGTATATTGAGTCGCGAACTTGGTTCCTGTTCTCCAAGTTTTTGGACAAGCGTCCAAAAACAGGGATTTTTTGTCCCAACAGATGCGTTCCAGTCACCATTCCGGCTCTCACATTTGTTGTTTGTCCTCAAATTCAGGGGCAGATCAAACACATTCCATAAAGTTAAAGAAATTTGGTCAAAATCCAAAACTTTCACAAATAAGCGAAAATTTGTCCGATATCTGGGTATCGCGAAAAAATTGGATCTTCTTCGATTTCGGCATCGAGACTTCCGAAAGCGGCTTTAATTTCGTTTTTTTTTTCGCCATACACCTATAATTTGCATGTCTTCTAATGTTTTTGGAGATTCTGGTAAAATTTCGGCTCTTTTTCGGCTCATGCTTTTTCTGATTTTTTTCGTATTTCGAGAGCAAAAAATCTTCAGAAGTCCCCTGTATCGCTTCGCCATACACTTTCTTCAAACTTCTACTGACATTTTGCTCAACGCTCTGAATCACTGTTTTTCAAAAATTTTCTTGCTGAGTTTTTTTTGTCTGGGGGGAGGTGATTGTGTTTTCCAGGTTTTTGATAACCAATTTTGAGTCTCCTGTCATTGTAATACGCGATGGACAATTGGGGGATCGACCTTTTACCAGACCGCCCTTTTACCTGGAAGTTATAACCTGGACCTTTTACCAGACTTGGTAAACAAATTTGATTGAGAGATGTAATGGTGCCATTTAGTCTAGTTAAAGACAATGTTTTCATAGTTTCTCAGCGATGTTTGTTTGGTGGCTTCCCTCATGCTTGAAGGACCGAATGCTTGAAATTTACTTTAGCTTACTTTCAGCCAAGCAGAATTGAGTATTCAAAATCTCAAAGTAAATTGAGAAAATCTCAAAGTAAGAAAATAAATCTTGGCCATTAGTTTTAATACTGACCGGTTAGATAAAAAGCAGATGAGTTTTCGAGACTAAAAAACGTTTATGAGCTTGATCTCACTAATATTGATGTTTATCTGAATAGTATTGCGGTTGTAACCCGCAATTTGTAAAAATTTGTGTTATTTTCCACTAATTTAAAACATTTTCTGATATTGTTGACTTCGATTTTGTGAGAAAGGCATTTAACCAATTGGAACGCTTAGCGATTTCTAATGGTTCAAACTTTTCAAGCATTCGGTCCTTCAAGCATGAGAACCCTCCCCGTTTTGTTTGTTCTAACTGCTTACTTTTCGAATAGTCCAGTAATCAAAATTTATCTGAATTGAAATATTGCATTGCGGTCTAGTAAAAGGTCGGTCTGGTAAAAGATCGGTCTGGTAAAAGACCTAGCCCCACAAAATTGATTTCACAACGTTTGAAGTAAATAAAGTTTTCATTGGTTTTATTTCTTTTGAACATATATCTTCGATAAAGAAAAATCCATATTTAGGCAAAAAAATAATCAATAAAATTGTTTTAAAACATGTGGTATTTATTCTCAAAAGCTCAACCGGAACGAAAATGTTTGTTTCCGCGACCTCTCTAAGTTAATTCTTAATTTGCATGCAGTTTTTCGGCTTCCTGACCCTATGTTCCCTATTCAGCTTGAAGTACCGACGGCTTGTTGTCCGGCAGCCCAATTTTTTGAGCCAAAACAAACCCGAGAGACGTGAAATCGTAGTCAAGCTATTCAACTCGAGAGAGGTTATCAGGCAAGATCTTGCAATATATAGCCTCTTTTAAAGATAACTTTCGTTAAGCAAAATCTTGAAGGCTATGATATCTATGTCAAAACTTAACCCGAACTTGTCATACTGGATTTTAAACCCCAACCGCAAGAAATAGACTTCAATTTACAAATAAAAACATGCTGTAATCCAATGTCGGCAACATGACCTATGAAAAACATCATCGCAGTTACTTCCAGCTTCCCTAAGATTAATTTTAAGTTAGATCTTTCCATTTGTAGTTTAGTCTTTAGAGCAAGCCGCGGGCCGAAGTCGACACTTTTTGCACCAGAAATCTTAAGTTGCACCTAGGTTTAATGTCGCGCAAAATTGCAAAAATTTTTGTGTTACGTTCAAAGTTGCAAAAAATATGTGCAAACTAGCATTTAGTCGCACTAAGAATTTTTCGTTCAGGCAAAGTCGCGAACTTTTTTAATGATCGCAAAAAGCCGCGGCATGCTAGTTTGACTCACGATGGTTGCGACAAACCTGTTTTGAATTGCGATACTCGCTTCATAAATTGCTGCCTTTATCCTTGCGCGCGGTAATTTTCTTCAAGATATGGTGTCCTAAATTAATAACAAAGAAGAAAACTTTGGGTGACCAGGAGATCACACCTGGGAAAAGTCTACTGCCCCCTCAAATAAATTCACAAATGTAACTTATTTGTTTTGTGCGGGCTCAAAAGTTAAAGAACAGAAGAAAAAAACTGAATTTGCTTTAGAAATACCTTAAAATTAAACAGCCAAGAGAATTTCCTCACGTTTTTCTGATTGTTTTTGCGCGGGATAAATTAGGGGATTGATATCCGAAATCCTGAAAAAACTTTCAATCAGATTAAAAAAAAACTCCTGAAAATATGTGTCAGTGTTTTTTCTCTGTAAAGCCAAGGCTTTGACTTTTTTTTGACAAGGGCTCTTCAAAACATGAGTTATTTTTTGAGAAGTGAGCTTCAATAAAACACGGAAGCGAATAATTTTAGTCAAAATTTCAAGTTGAGTTTTCATAATATTGAGTTTAATTACCTCGAAAGTTCAACGCTAAAAACCACATTTAAAATTTGGGCTCTCGCTCTTAAATCAAGTAGTAAAACAATCGACCCTTCAACGGAGCAAAGAACGGTGTTAACGCAACAATCGGTTGAGCTAGTTCTTCATTGCCGGTCGTAATAAAAGCAGTTTGGTCTTTGCTGAAAAAAAAACGTCTTAATATGAGACAAAAGTTAAGGATCTTTGAGATGCG